TATATATATATATATATATATATATATATATATATATATATATATATATATATAGATTGGAAACCGACGCAGAACAGAAAACGGGACAAGCCCGAAAAAACTGGATGAACCCGAAATTTGAGAGAAACCTCAAAACAACTCTTAATATCAATTTATAAAACGAGAATACTGAAACCGAGTGTTACAGAGGAACCTACTTATTCACATAATGAACTACAGAATACTAAATAAATTCTAAATAGGAAAACTTGAAAATAGGAAAGTAACTTGTTTGTTTCCGAAACCGAACGATAGTTTGGCTTTCTTTCGAACTCGTTTCTCTCTTTCCCACCAATCCATGGAAGAGACTTCTAGCATACGGTTTTGCTCCGTATCAGATACGAAAAACGAAACGGATTCCATCGCCTCTACCTACACCATTACACACAAAAATCTCAACGATAACCATATTACACACTACTAACCCATGCCGACTGTTTGGGCGCAAGGTTAAGCATGCATTTTTTCGCCTCCAAGTCCTCATATTTAACGTGTTTTTCCTGCATTTCCATCAAAACTGAACACCAAATCGTCGTTATATAAATACTAAATTTGTAGAACTAAAAATTAATGGTAAAAATTGAGCAAATTCGGCATCAAGAAACAATTTTTTTTGTCTTACCATCAATCTCTGTTAGATAGTCGAAATTTATGTATAACTATATACAGAAAAGCAGGCAGGCTAACCGATTTCGCAAGGATCCAAAACTTTCCCATGCGCTTTGTGGATATGTTTCGGGGAATCAAACCCATCACGGCATTTTACTTTAATGAAATTATCTTAACATTTCCATACCTGAGAAATGTGGAACCCCATCAGATTTACTCTCCACAACAATCCTGAAAGGAAAAAAAAAAGATTTACACCATTGTTGGATTGTTTAACTTGAGAGGACCCATCCAGTTTTTTTTATCTAACTTTCGATTGGTAGTTGAAATTAGGAATACGTAATTGTTCTTGGCTTTGACACTAAAGATGACCACAGGATCATTTGGAATGTGTTGAAGATTTTCACAATCTACCTTAAATGGTTGGGAGTTTCATTATTAGCTAGGTTGGTGTTTACCTTGATTTTAATGCAACTAGCATCCCAATTTCATTGTTCGTTAAGGCTGCGTTTGATAAATAGAACTAAACAGAGCAGAACAGAACCCATTGTTCCACATTTGGCACGACATGTGACAAGGACTAGGTGGGACTGGTACTAGATGGAACAAAAACGGCTCTTCTCTGTTCCACCAAAATAGGTGGAACAAGATGGGCACGGATGAGACAAAACTAAAAAATTACAAACTACCCTCATTCATTATAACTCTAATCTGGCATTTGCATTAATGGTCACCACCACCCATCCCCATCACCGCAGCCGCCACGGCCACCACATCACCCACCACCACCACCTCCACCTCCACCTCCACCTCCACCTCCACCTCCACCTCCACCTCCATGCTCAAAGATAAACATGATGTTGTTGTGTATCGGCATCAACGCTTACGGTCAATCTAGAGATTTTTTGGGGAAAAAAAAGGTTTTGCAAGGTCAAGGATACACGAATCCAAGCTATAATTAGGTTATCGCTCATTGCTAGATGCTTTACTTAAAATGATTTCTTATTTCTTTACTTGTTTTTGTAGGTTTTCACCAAATGGAAAAAAACTCAACCCCCCGGGAATTAATTTAGAGCATCCTACGCTTGATATACATACAATATATGCAAGTATTCAGAGGCTCTGTGGAGTATGGATTCAACCCCACTTATCAATTTGTAACGAAGATGACAAGACTCGATTATTTTCCGGATTCAACACTGGCTATACACTACGGCTCAAATGGATCCGGTCGGCTCAGCTCATTTAAGCTCACAGCTCATGCAGACTCACCAAGCTGCCATGTAAGAGCCATACCACATTCCGGCTCGGCTTGGGCTCACCAAGCTTTTTGACAAACTAGTTCACAAACCCTCATCAGCCATCCCTGATCGACACCCCTAGTTCCTAGTACAGTCTAGACCAAAGATAGATGCTACAAAAATATTACAACTTGGTACGAACATTATACTATATTTGGGTACAGGAATAAAGGTCTAATATATACTCCCTATGTCCCAAAATAAATGTCCACAATAGAAAGGGCACACAGTTTTAGAAATGTGTAATTATTACACTTCTTTTTAACGAAATGACAGTGTTTCCCTTAATATTACATGGAGTAATGAATTTCTCCAACTCATAATTAAGGCACTTAGAGGGTGTTTGGTTGGATTTTCATTAAGTCCTGTATGGATTCCGATGTCTGTATGGATTGATCTATCTGTATAAATTTGGAATGTGTTGTTTGTGAGGTTTTTCCATAGACAAAAGGAACGTGTTTTTTTAATTGGCAGGGGCATGTTTGGAAAAATTTAGCTTTCTGCATAAAGCGCCCCCTTAAAAGCTTACTGAAATAAGCCACTTTCTATATCATTAAGCCACTACCAAAAGTCATTTGTCGCTGACCGAATAAGCTATGAGTCCAGTTAAGCTCATTAAGCTGCTCACAAACAGGCCCTTACTATTAAAAGTGGGTACTTATTTTGGCACAAACTGAAAATAGAAACGGAGACGCTTATTTAGGACGGAGGGATTAGTGGACGTACATAGAAAAAGAAAAACTGAACAAAGATGGTGTACCTACTTGGAGCTTTGCTACGCAACCATATCCAGTAACGGGTTATAAACTTGATCAGCTTTCTTGCTTGAAGGTAAAAACTCTGGCACTCTCTCCGGCCGGTCTAAACGCAACCTCTGAGAAAAGTCCCCAATGTCTCTGAGTAACA